CTCTGAGACTCTACTGTGTCTTACACTACACAGCTCTGGTATATATTTAGGTTTTTGACTGAAAATACACTGGCCTCTGCAAATAACTCTTAAGTCAAAGTATTTCCTCATAGGAGTATGTACATTCAGTGTAAAGCTACACGTCATAAGCAATGAAATCTTATTATTGGTTTTAGACAAGATGCTAGTGCACTTACTGCATCGATTGGTGCAGAGGATGTGTTTTGGCTCGCCTTCCATTTTGCAGGTTCATGTAGAGCTCCTTTCTGTTCAGCAGAAACAACAAAGAAGAAATAAATAAATTCATGCTCAGGCCTGAGGAACATTTCACAGCAGCGTTACAGTCTGACTTCACATAAGCACATTGCTGTGTCACTAATTTCCTCCTGTGCCGTTTGTATCTGCCTGTACTTACTTTAGCCCTCTTGTTTATTTACATCCGCTTAGTAAAACACTGCCTAAGATCACAGGCAGCAAACAGGTGCTGTAAATGGGCGGGGAATGTTTGTACTTGTTCCTCTCATAGGTGAGGTGAAAAGTCAAGAGTGTCTTTCGCTGTGGTCTATCTCTGCCCGGCCCTCTTTTGTTGTGAGAACAGAACAGTGCTTCAGTAATATGTGTTGTGACCCGCCCTAGTCTTCTGCTATCTGGTGTTTGACACCGGCAGAAGGCTGATGCTGTGAAATCGAATGCAGTGGGCGAGCTCTCAGCGGGGAGCCCAAAACATTAGCTATTAGCGGCAGGCGACAGATGCCTGTTCTCTGGATTGAGGTGTATCTCTGTTGCTCTCCCATTGCCTGTCTCTCTCATCGCTGTTTTTTCATTATACTTTATCTTTCTGCCATTTTAAGCGTTCCGTCTCCTGCGGGGTCATTAGTGGTTTGGGTTACATGCAAGAGCTGTGGACTGTACTCCGGCTAAGGTGTTACTCAGCTGTTTTCGTGACCAGTTGATTCCCTGTTATTGTGTTTTTCTGTTTACATGAATAAATAAGGAGACAGAGACGGAGTATTGCTGTCTGCCTATGGCGTCCTAGCCACATGTCGAACAGTTCACCAGCAAAAAAATATGAAGTATGAAAGGTTCAACATACAGTAGCAGTGGGGGTGACGGGAAAAGGGCAGAAAGAGGAAAGATGCTGGCAAGGGATCTCTGGGAAAAATCTCAAAAGCCGGTTATAGGTGTTTTTCTGAAAATGTGCAAATGAACGGACACGTGATAAATCATGTGGTGTAACCTTTCTCAAAGATATTGAATAGTTCAGTACATACAAAACCTGTACGGTGGGTTCTGGGAGACAAATGATCTGGCAGCTCTGCAGTGGAAGTCATGAGTTAGAGTTGCATCAAATTAACATTTTCATAATTGATTAGTCTATTTTGAGGAGTTGATTAATCATTTAGTTATTGAAATATAAAAACAAAGTCAGAATTGTACTTCAAGAGTTCCCACAGCACAACATCTTTGAATTGTTTGCTTTTGATGGATCAGCAGTCCGTGAAAGCAAAGGTGTGTGATTGATGACTGATGACTTGCGACAATGATGAAAAACAATGACTATAAAAGAGACACAAGTTTGACCGTCCCTCAATATTGAATCTATGAAAACGGGTCACAAACATATTGTTTCAGTTTGAAAAAAGATTGATTTTAAAAACAACTGGGCACAGTAGTTTCTAGAAAACATTGCACAAACAGCAGTAAATAGTGCATATGTTGGACTGTTTCAAGCAGCGGATTAATTCACATGCGGTGCTGAAACACATACGGGCCATTGTGTGGCATGTCATCGGATGAAACGATGTGGGCCGTGAACACACAGAAGACAGAAACAGAATTGCATGTGCGTGTAAACAGAGCCACTTTCGCATGCATCCTGCCAAAATATCTGTGGCTGCCGCTGTGCATAACCCATCCTGTTAAACGTTGCACATTATTAAACATGCCATGAGCAGAAGGCCACACAAAACAATATCATCATCATAGGAATGGAGGAATTATTTCCAATGACAGAGCCAGATGCTGTTGGTTTCGTGGCTCCCTGTCATTTTTTTTGCTCTTGCTTAGAATCAGCATGATAATCAGAAAATGAAGAGACTGACAGGAGAGAGCCCCAGCAGGTGAAAGTGAAAGCACTCATTCTGACAGAGTCTGACTTACTCACACACGACTGTCTCAGCGATGCGTCGACTGTGGGAAGATTTGCTAGAGTGTGGTTCAATCGGGATGTTATAGAATTACACTGAACCAAGAAGGAACAAAAAACAACCTTAAAATCTCTCTTTGAAGCAGCTTCTGGAAAGAACTCCATCAGTATTCTTTGCAGGGCTTGATATCCTTTTCTCCGTTATTGGAAGAGAGCAGGGGAAGCAGGATTTGGGCGTTGCTCTACCTATGCAGATGAGAATCTTTTCCCAGATTACACGTGTTTAGTGTGCGGCTGAGTATTTATCCTCAGCTCCTTTAATCCAAGTCGATGTGGAACAGACTTTGCCTTCCCTTTCACTGTCGGGGCTGGCAGTAGGAATTAGCCGTTACAGCCACTGCACTTAGTCAACATCACCAACAACGATAGTCGAGCTGCGCAATTTGCATGTAGAGATGTTTGAAACATGGGGATTAGTCAGGGGTTCTCAGCAAATCTTAATCCATATGTATGTAAAAAAATTTATATTCATAAAAAAATTCAGTGGCTATCCTTCAAAGTGTGTGCCAGTCATAAGTTGCATTAATGTCTCGTTTTAGCGCTGTGCTCTAATGTTGTCACATGCATTGTGGGAGATGGAGAGCAGCAGCCTTTGAAGTCTGTCAGCTCCTATATCCCATTTAATATCAACATATGTTTATCCGCTCGATAATCCCGACAAAGCTGCTATTCTACTGGAACACACAATGTTGGACCAGCTGTCCTGCTTTAAGTCAGTTGTTGAGACTTTGGTGTATCTTATTATTGTTATCATTTATGGGAAAATATCCAAACTTCTTTTTACTTTTTTGTAATTGTTTTATGGTGTTTCACTTAATGCATGCAGTTTCATTTAGAAGGATTTTCCCATTTTTGTGACCACTTGGTGGGATTACTGCGTAGCATGTCGGTGAAAGTTATTTTACCAAAACTCAAAGAGTTCCACACCAGCCTCCACTTCCAGGGTCATCGGCTCATTTGTATTGAGTTGTTCACAATGGACAGAACTCCTGCCTCTGGGTACCTCTGGCTGGACAGATCTTCCCACGCTTTGATTAAAAATCGGAAAACAAACAACAGCAGTTCTGTGTTTATCAAATTTAGTGTTATTTCAAATGTACTTTGCAGTGGGTACATGCAGTGGTATGATATCTGTTGACCATGTCAACCTGTTCTCACTTCAAACTCAATACTGCAGCTCGTCCCGTCGGTGTCTTGTACTGAGACACAGAGGCACCCTTTAGTGTCTGTATGAGATGCTCCAGGCCTTCAACTAACTTCATTATAAACCCATCAGCGTTATTATTAAAGGGTCAGAGCAACTGTTGTAGTATAGGCTATACAGTGTGCAATGGCAGGTGGGAAAAACAGACCCGGGGCTTTCACCGAGGAGACTGCTGTTCATGTTCTATGTGAAACTAGAAGTCAACATTGATTTATTTAGATTCCGTAGTCATGCTAGTCATGTGAGTTGTTAGTCAGTCCTGTTCAACATCAACCACAATCTTTTCATAAACCGAACTTCCCATGAAGACGTGCCTTGACAGGTTATTCTTGCCACGTCCAAAACGGACGCAAGAAGGAAGAAGGGTACGTAGAGCATCGCAGTATAAAGACTAGGGACACTTACCAAGCGTCGGTAGGTGACGAACTGGGAGTGAGAATGTGTTTACCAACAGGGTTGAAAGCTCCAGAGAGAGCGAGCTAAGTCGACCCTGAGAATATTTTGTCACACAGCAGGTCTACAATGGGGTGTTTTAATGTAATCACCAGAGCCTGGCAGAGCTGGCGATGTCAGCAAGAACGCTTTTTGTCTCGTTTGCAAATTGAGCATTCTGCGCCCCCCCCGTTCTCCCGGTGCAAGCTCGAACTTGACGCACTCCGTTTGAGAGACGCTTCGTATCTCACTGTATAGAACCCTAAATGAGATTCCGGAATCGGTTATTTGCTTTAGTTCAAAAAAGGTCATCTCAGAACAGCAAGGTCAAACTCTGCAGTGAGCAGCGAGGACCCATTTCATGCTTCAGCAGCATTTAAATAATGTATAACTTTAAAATCCACCCCAAGACGAGATGATTCTCAATAATATCTCCTCTTTAAAGAACACAGAGTTGCACATGCAGGTGTAATGCACATTCTTGTCAAGAGATTAGCAGAGCCTCACTGGAATGCTTCGTAAGAAATTCAGCAAACCTTGCAGTTATTTTTTTTACTGCTTCAAGGCCATCTTCAATATATAGTTTTGATATAAAAAAAGAACAGTTTCTCTTTGTATTTTCCATTCCCTCTTAAGAATCCCTCTCTGCCTTTCTTCTGAGTGGCCTGATGTCTCTCCTTATCATAGTAAATGTATTTCTTCCTGCCACACTTATTATTCACCGCGCTGAGAAACACAGTAAGCCCCACAGAAAGCCTTGGTTGTGTTAAAACAGTCGACTCAAACCTTATTCTCCAATGTTTTTTAACTAAGCCCACTCATCCTGCTCTGCTCTGATACGCGACTTTGACCTCACAGGGCGGTATCACTCACCACACGCCGCTCTGACCTCATAGGCACGGACAAATTTTTAATAGCACTGTAACTCCTCAAGTCTAAACTAGTTTGTATCATCTGCATAATGGCACAAATAGCCGGCAGAGTCTTTGTTGCCTGTTTGTACTTTTTCACAGTCGACCAGTTTGAAGAGCATGTCCTCATCTGTAAGGATTTATGAGTTTCAATTTAATTGGAGGGAATTAGTGGACATTTAGCTTCTAATATCCATCAAATTAATCTCTAACTCTGTGTTTCTCTTCCCCCTCCTCTCTCTCGCAGGAAATCCAGAATGGGTTCCGGGATTAACCTCTGCACTTGGTAGAGCGACCCAGAAGTTCACGTCCGTTTGCACAGCATCTCACAGCCTGGCAAATTCCATAATGTAAATATATCTTGGCCTTTTTTCTTTTCATTAAACCTTCAGCTTTGGGCCATGAACCTTAGAGGATCTACCCGGACCGCTATTTCCTCAGTTTGGATTTAGATTCCTCTTTTACTGGGACTACTCCACGGGCCTGCAGCGGTGGCTAGTTGTGGCGGCTGCCGCGGCGGGAGCGGGAGGACCTTACAACTTTGGAACACGGGGATAACTTTACAAAAGCACGCACCACCATGAGGATATCTACCACCTCCTGCCTCTGTCCCTTTCTGGTCTGCCTCTGTTTCATCCAGAGGTGCTGCGGGGTGAGCCACCACGGCCCCGCCAAAGTGCCCTCCAAGAACCAGACCAAACTGGCCAACGGGGAGACGGAGGTGCACCACAGGCCGAAGCGAGGCTGGATCTGGAACCAGTTCTTTGTTTTAGAAGAACATTTGGGACCAGAAGCACAGTATGTGGGAAAGGTAGGATTGTTCTTTTTATTGAACTGTCTGCAAAAAAAAAAAATCATTTTATCCCAGGGAACTGGTTTTTGAACATCTTACTTGGCATTTTCCTCTCCCCTCTTGTTTATTGAGGAATGGGTTACAGCAGGACAAAGCTGTTCTATTGAGGTAGATTGCCACGTCGGCATTGTACGCGCGCTTTTTTTATCTTCTGATGTGGAAATTCAGCGCTCATTTGTGAAGGTGTGTAGGTGTTTGTCAGTACAATGTTGGACTGATTTCCTCTCATGATAATGTCCAAAAAAGGTTTTATTATCTGTAATTAGGGAGTGGCTCTCAGCATGTCTGCCACTCTCTACATCAAGCTATCTCTGAACTGGAATATCAGATTTGCTCTCTCTGTGGGAATTGAACCCAGATTTGATCTCTTGTTGGAACATGAACCACCACAGTTGGAAATCGGGCAGTTCTGCAATGGGGACATAGTAATCGGGGGCCCCTCATAGCTAGAACATTTTATGAATGGAATTTCAGAGTGACCGATGTGCCTTACAGAGGAAACGATAGTGGTGGGTATTCTTTCTGCTTGTGCATGGCCCGGTTGTTGGTGGTGACTTTTCTGTTAGCTCCACAATAAGCCACAGGGAGCTGGTTAAGTCCTCTGCTTGCAGATTGCCTGCCCTTATCTCCTGAAATGTTAAAATGTGTTTCTCCACTGCAGTGATCATTATTCTAGGCACTCAGGCACACACTAATCCCCTCAACTGCACTCAGAGAGAAAGAGAATGAGAAAGGCAGAACGCTCCTCTGACTGCACATATGTCTATATTTCAACAACGGGTGCCATTTGTTAAGGGAAAATAGAAGAACAGAGGGATGACATGCTTGGAAAAAAAGGTGAAAGGGAAAAAAAAACAAAACAACAACAGTAAATATCGCTTTCCAATACTGTTTATTGAAAAAAAACCTGGGGTTTTAATCACAAATGTCCTTGCGAAGCAGGGAAGAAAGGTTATTTATTGGTGAAACATGTTTTAGGTAATATTATTTGACGAATGAATGAACCATAAAATCCCACAGTGCCAACAAAAAGAATCCCTCAGCATTCACGAGGCATTGTGTCCCCAGTGTCAGACAATAGCAAAGACATTTGCAGCATATTCAAAGGTTCATTTTGTCGATGCGCTAACTGCACCGAGACGTGGTTACTCACTTACACGTTAGATTCGTCCGCTGCCTTAAAGTTCATGATTGTTTGGTTGGCTCATATTGCTAGTTCTAGTCCTACCTTAAGGCTGTTGTTTTTCTATGTGTGTGTGTGTGTGTGTGTGTGTGTGTGTGTGTGGCGGGTGCCGCTGATGAAAGCAAAACAAACATAAACAGCTAATCCTGGATGATGATAAAGCACTGAGAAGACACAAAAACATTATTAAGGAATCAATTTGACATGCATGTTTAAAGAGATGAGGTCTCCAGATGGTTAGCACAAAAAAAACATTTAATTATGTGGGTTGGGACTTGAGTGCAGTGTCCTAATGTGGCCAGGAGACAGAATGACCCTTAATTAGATGAAGACAGGAGAGGAGGATTAATGCATTCAGCACGTACAGCGCTGTATTGTGTGTTTTTTTCTCTCCCCCTCCTTCCCTTGCTTGATTAAAAACTCTGGACATTAGCGAGCAGCAAATGAGCAGTTCCACTCGGGAATTGCCAACACAGTCTCTGTCGGTTATTGCTCTCATTGAAAAATGGGACGTTTTGAAACAGACGTTTTGCACACAGAAATTCTAATAATCGTGTGGTCAACATACAATGCAGACGTGTGCTCAGAAACCTGCACGGTTAAACATCACACAAGCATGCCGTTATGTAAGACTCGGCCTTGGCAGTTGGTGATGTTATGTGTGCTTTTTCTTCTAGTCTCACATAAAGGACAGCATAGAGTGACTTCTGTGAATAAGTGAAGCAGCCAGTCTGTCAAGAACAGTTTTAATCCCCTTGAGGTATCCCATAATCCTCAGTGACACCTTTCTGGGGAGGCTCACGCATTTTGGGGAAATGACAGCTTTGTGCATGAGTGAGGCGCAAATGCTTGCTTGGGGACAGGGCTTGTCCAGATACGAGACAGGAGACAACCCGTTCTCCCAATGGGAGGTGTGAATGTCTCCACGTCAATCTGCTCAGCGTGGGGCCTTGAAGTTGTCGGGCAGGTTACGGTCTGGATGGTAATTTCTCGAAGACTTTGCAAATCCCCAGACCCTGAATGAATGTGTGTTGCGGTGAACGGTCTGATGCAACTTGGTTTGAGGACATGGTGCAGCTTTTATGATGAAAAATATCAGTCAGGTATCCTTGAATTGATCCATGTTTGCCCACTGCTAAAATATACAGTAAATAAAGTGAGATTTGACGTAACCCCCCCGGTCGTATCCTGTGTTCATTTGCAGGGCAGAGTAGCAACCTCTAAGAAAGGTGCCTAAATGTTTTATTCATACATCTAAAAATGGATTGTGCTGTGACAGAATCAGGCAACTGTCTTGTTGTATGTACAGTAATAGCTCAACAGTGGAAAGAAAAAAAAAAAGCGAGGTCTTAACATAAAATTGCTTTTCACTCACTCTTTGCAATGCAGGAAACGAATGCATGCAGATTGGAATGTTTTCAGTATTAAACCAGTGAGGTGTTACATGAAATAACAAGGAACATTTCACGGTCGATGTCACATTATTAGTATGCAGAGTTGGAAAGAGAAACATCCTGAAAATGGCAGATATAATACTCATCAACCACGGATACATTTTTCTGACACTGAGGCATGTACATATGAGTGTGGAGGTGGGTCTATGTCTCTATGTGTAGCAAGGCTTCAACTAAAGGTTTTTATGCCTCAACGACAGCTGCAACCGGAGACATTGCGTTTGTTGGTTGTCCATCCATTCGTCTGTCCCTGTCTTGAGAAAACAATAGCTTAGGAACAGCTTGAGGGAATTTCTTCAAATTGGGCATGAAAATACACTTAGACTCAAGGATGAAGGGATTAGAATTTGGTGGTGAAAGATCTTGGTCATTGTGACATTTTGCACAGACAAGGACGTTAACTGCTGGTGGTGGATGCAGACAACCGCTTGGCGGCAATAATATTATTTATTTTTTATTATTGAGCACTAGACAGACTGTATAGCTGGACAGTTCGAAAATATGTGAAAGTAACCAACTATTTAGTTGATACATCTTCTCGCACAGTGCCCAGATTCTGGTCTACCCGGGTTTTATCTATCCGTCAGTCCTAAACTCAAAGATATTCTACTTCCTTCATTTCATTGTCTGCTGTCTGGATCGCAGGTGACGTCGGTTAACTTTTACAAATGTGATCTGTAGGCTTTAGCTTCTATCTTTATATTTTACCTGCTGCTGAATCTGTTTGATATCCTGGATTTGTCCTTCAAACTCATACTGTAGACCCTTCCATCTGTTTCTCTCTGAAATCGCTTTCTTTAAAAAAAAAAAAGAATGGATAATATCTATGCAGGGACTGTAGTTAGTGACAGTGTGGGCTACATGGTAGCTCTGACAGTTGAGGAAGTACCAGCGGGAGGCGGGGCTTAGCAAAGGGTCAATCGTACACTCGGTGCATGCACCAACATGTACATTCAGTACGAGTTGTGTGTGTGTGCGCACTCATGATTCATTGATTTTTCGAGGCAATTTGGATCAACAGTCTCTGTTTGGGGAGGCTCTTTATTATCTGGTCAGGCATTGAAATGCATCTGCTGTGCCGTGTGCTTGATACAGTCACACTTTCACCAAAAAAATTATGGTGAAACAAATTAAGCGAACCCAGTGAACACTTCCGCTTCCATGGAGTCACCAACTGCAGAAAATAACACTTGAAGAGTGTGCTGTCTGTGCAGGCATGCTTAATATATCCTAAGTGCATTCCCCTGTCCTCTGGCTGAGACGTTCAAACGTATTAGCACCATTTAGACACTTGAGGCTAAAGCCATTTACCCTCACTCGCTGCCAGAGCACGAGGCAGAAACTTCATGTTTTCTCGAGCTGATCTGCTGACGGTTTCATTTCTGTTTCGTACCAAATATCATGTTTTTAGCAGCAGTTAGAGAGAGAGCCACTAAATGAGTGTCAGAGTTGCTTCTGGGACTCTAATAATCTCATTACTGTACATCGAGAAGTCAACCATCCTTCTGGGAAGACAACGATTCATTCTGTTTCTCCCCGCAGATGTCAGAATAGAGGACAACTATCGGGGCGGATTCTTCGTGATGCATCGGTAGCACGTCTTCGTCACACCCCTCATCACTGTCTCTTGATGTATGGTCATTAGGCGGGCCCTCCATCATCAGGGCTTACTGTGACTGTTACAAATCAATCGAAGAGAAGGGGGGCACTCGGAGGAGTTGATTGGGAGGGACCACGGTCAAAATGTGGTGATAATCAGACAATCAAGCACGCCCACATAGAAAGTGATTAAGTCCTCTTGAGTGAAGTATAAGAAGAGCCGACATTTAATCAAAAATGAACCCCCCCCCCCCCCCCCTTCACTAATTGCAAATATGAAGCCAAGGCACGGATCATCAGCTAGGGAGCACAGCCTGCTTATTTCTCCTTCCCCCCCCCACCACCACCACCATCACCATCATGCACATTGTTGATGGAATAAATGCCCAAACAACCTGACTCCCACCTTCAACTCCCGTTTCTGCATCAGCAAGGCTTTCAACATCAAAGCTATGCAGTTTTAATGAATCTCTCCAAAAGCAACATGAAGTAAATGTTACGGCTGTTTGTCCAGTGCCAGCCTGATTACTAGAGCTGTGAAATCACGACAAAGAGCACGCAGATAAAACAAAGATGCTGCGCTGGCTGTAGTGCTGCAATGAATCGATTATTAATCGTGAGTTCGGCTTCCGACGGTCAAATCAAGTAATCGGCTGCGATGTAAATGCATCTAAACTTCGCGGCATATCAAATCAAGCGCTTCCTAACTAACAGCCAGCCAC